ATTAGAGATAGAAACTTAATTTAAAGAACTATTACTATTACTATTACTTATATTATTTTCAGTTTATAGATAAAAAACTTGAGATAAATCTTCTTGCTTGAAAAACACGTATGTGTTACAAATCCATTTTCACTTATAATTATAAATATTACATAATTATAAACGCATAATTTTTTTATTAGAAAATCCCCGAACCCCCAAATATTTAATATAATTGTTTTAATAAAAATCTAGTTAGAAAGAATATACATAAGCTTTTGAATTCATCGACACGTTTCAAATGTCTTTTCTTGTATTTTCTTTTTTTTGTGCTTTTGAACACATACACACACATGCGTTAGTTTTCTTTCTCTCTTCCTCTTTTTTTTCTCTATTGTTGTTTCATGTGTAATTTGTATTGTCAACGTCCACCATTTTGAACGATGCGGGCGCTGTCCCATTTTCGAAGGGTTGGTCTACCATAGGTCCAGTATCCTGCCCCTAGGCACCCTTCGCAGTGTGTGACATTTATTTAACAAGGTAACGGTGTTAAGTTGTTAGGTTGAATTAGGGGATCCCTCGATGTGAATTCAAGGACCTAACGACCAATAGGATTTATTATTACTGGTAGCGTGTGCGCGATTTTCAGCTGCAACGATTTCTCACGATGGCTACTAACGGATCTTGTTGCATCATCACGCATTTAAATCTTCTTGCGCATACTTATTGTTCTTTAACTTATGTTGAAGTTTTAATTTTAGGAGAGGAATATTTTTTATAACCAATCAATATATAATATTTATAATTGTTGGAAGAAATAATAAAATAATAATGTAATCAATTATTTCTAAGACAAATTGCAATTGTTTATATATATTTATATTGTTATATATATAATTTAATAAATTTTATTATATTTTGTATTTTTATATTGACTCTTTATAATAATATACCTTCCCGCGATTCCGATTTTAGAAGCAAAATATAAAGTAATTTTCTTAATGCGTTACATCTTGATCGCTTTGTTTCATTATCTTATCGTTTTAATAAACAAAACAAGAATTATTATTGTGTATAATTTAAAGAAAGATTATTCACTATCTCACTCTCAAATTTTTTAAATATATTACATGCATTTGGATCGTACAATTTAATTGTTTATTCAAAAAAATAAAATAGATATTGAAAATCTTTAAAGTTTTCTTTGTATTGATTAAATATTATAGATAAAGAAAAAATTAATTTTTCTCTCGTTTCTCTTGATATCTTTCAAATATACTATGTGTATTAAATACAATTTTTAGTTCAGTACACGTGTTAACAATTATAACTTTCCCACATTTATCATATAGAAATCAAAAATTAAGAATTATCAAAATATGCCTTTTCGGTAGATGACGCAGCAATAATTTTTAATAGTTTAAAAAAAAATAATTTTAGATCAAGATCTTTCTCTCTCTATATATTGCAGTTCTCTCTTGAAAAATTGATTGAAAAAATTAATGTGAATATTTTTGACTGACGAATTTAATATTTAATATAACAAGATTAAAGATATAGAGAACAAAAGAAAGAGGGGGCAGGATAAAAAATATCTTGCTTCGAAGCCTGGAGTAATACGTTGGGATATATCATTATCATTTAATTTTCGCGTTCTCTCGTCACAGTCGTTAACATCGCGGATCGACGGTGATTTTTCGTTGTTTGCCGCGGCGCGTGAAATTTAAATATCCCTGTGATCGATGGTCGCCCGATATCTGATCATTATTTTTATCGGCTCGCGAGCGTTTCGAAATTGGTATCCCCGCTGTTGCTGCGAACAGAAGCCGGATTTTTATTATTTTAATGAACATTTCTGTGAGCGCGCGCGTGTCATGCGCGCGGTTTCCCAGGCGAATAATATCCGCCTTCTGATTATTATTTTCATCCCTATCGTTTGAGAACCGTGAAAGCAGGCCGCCGTTCGTTAAGAAAAACTTTGGTCCTAAAATGGTTGGATATTGCAAAGTTAGTCGTGAGAAAAATAATATTTCGGAGCAATGAACAAGAGAGAGATAGTCCCGACAGAAATTTTCCTTGAAAATGCTAAAATGCGATTTATTTTAATAAGGTTGTATACATGATGATGTTACAAGTAAGATAGTAATAATGAATAGATATATAAAAAAATATAATTCTTTAATCAATTGTTCAAAGAAAGAGAAATTGTTCTATACATTCTATTTTATTATTTTTTTATGTTGGGATAGCTAAATATTGTTTTGACAATATACGCATTGTTTTCAAGATACATATATATGTGTGTGTGTGTATTTACTTTTTTGTTTAAATATAATTTTTTTTTTTTAATCGTTTTCATAAATTAATTTTTAAATTTTTTTTAAATTTAATTTTCCTCAAAAAGCAGATAAAAATAATATTAGGACATATATTATTTTATTGTGTTATCTTATTCCATTAATACAATTAGCAAAGATATGTTATATTGATCAACTGTTGAGATACATTTTAATCGAATTAAGATTGAATACAATTTAAAGTATATTATTCATAGTAGAAGATGGATATTTTATCTGAAATAATATCTATTATTTGTACTATTACTCGTATCTGGTAACATATTTCCATTTTTTTAAATATTTTGTATATTATTTGTAATCTCAAGAAGTGCGCGCACTTTTGCCCATACACACGCACACATAAAAATATTAAAAATTAATCTAATTTTGTCAACTAGCAACAAAAATTTTATTAAGATAAAATTATTCGGCAAATGTTTCAAAAACTTGGATTCAAAAGAAATAAAAGAGAGAGAGAGATAGTAATAAAAATAATAAGTTTTTTATATTATATAAATATACGAAAACATAGCAAATAGACTGTTAGCGTCGCACATGTAATGTAATAAGGTATATATATAATTTATACTATAAATGATAAATATACATATATAAAATATGTACTAATAATAATATTATATATGTATATATATCTTATATACACATTTTTGTTATATGCATAAACGTCATATAGTTTCTCAAAATTTAATAAAAGTCTTATAGATATTATCTTCTTTTATTTATAAATTAGATATATAAAAATAAGTTTGTGTGTCTTGTATATAAATGCTGTATTTTACATCATTCAAATATTTTTAATTACTTAAGATACTATTTAATATCCATAGAAAAGAATGATATTTAAAAGATGAACTCCTGACAGTAATTGCTTAAATAAAAATTTGGAAAAATTAAATAGATTTTATAATCAGATATAATGATGCTTCAAAATATTAATACAAAAAAATCAATATATTAATGCATTGTATAGTAAATATAAATGTTAAAAATAATTAATACTTTTATATTAATATTTCTCTTGTTCTTTAAGTATTATGGTTTCCCTCCTTAATATTAATCTTTTCGTAACAACTTTTATAGAACTTTCAAAAATTATTGTAATCAATAATATTTTATTCATTATTATATTAATTTTGTAATTATAATATGTAAAAAGGTAAGAAACATACGATATTTTATTGAGCATAATTATTTTAATACTAAAACCGTATAGTTGCTTCCTCTATATGTTAAGCTCGAGAACATTGAAGCACAACATTTTTACCAGCTGACAGTAAAGAGCTCGTCCAGTATATAAATTTGAAAAAGAAACTCGCATTATTATAAAAAATAATAGTAAGTTTTATAATTTTATTTGCTTAAATGAAACACATATATAAAATAAAATAAAATGTGTATATTAAACAACCGTATATTATTATTTTATATTATTATAATACACATACGTTATACTATGACAATAAAATGATAAAAATTATTTATATTAAATACAATAAGTTTTGCTATAATATGTTATTAAAATTTTGAAAATATAATTGTGTAATATGCTTTATATGCGTAATCTTATATTAAAGTTATATTAGCAAAATTGATATGCAGAGCAAATATAGAATTACATTAGCAATAATAGACATTTTATTATATATTTTTTTATATATAAAAAAAAAAGAGAAAGAAAGAGCAGAGAGAAAAAGAGAGAAAGCAAAGCATTGTATTTATTTATAATAAAATCTTAATATTATATTGAAAAAATTGCTTTATTAAAATGTTTTCTATTATTTCCTATTAATATTGTACGCTATTTATGTTTTTTAATCAAAAGCATCAATTTTCTATATTTTTGTAGAACTATGAACACACACACAATAAATCTATAAATACTTATAATGTGTATATTTATGTGCTATGCATCGATGGTACATCTCTAACTTTACTGACTCCGTTGACTTATTATTTGTAGTCGATAAAGATGTTTCAATATATATTGATATATATTAATTAATAACAACATAAAAATATGTGTATTAATATTGAAAAAAATACATGCAAATGAGAGATATAACTTGAAATTAAAAATGTATTGTTTCTAATATAGAGATATTAATTCTAAGAGAAAGAAAAAGTCATTTTACATTCGTTGTCATCCCTATTCGTATTTAGCTAAATTATAATTATAATTATAATTAATATGGTAATTATTATCTTGATAAATATATCTTGTTAAAACGCATTTTTAAATAACGTTTCACTATAATCGCACAATAATTTAATCACAATATCACCTTTATAGATTCTACTATATGGCGTATAATTAAAAAAAGTATTATTCAAAATATTATTTCCACATATTTTTATATTATTTTATCTTTGTTTTTTTACATATGTTATTTAATCGGTATTATCAGTTTATCGATAAGAGTGACAGAATTGAGGATGTAGTATCGTATCATGTTATCAACTGCTCATCTTCACGAGAGCACGCTTCAAGATTGCTTCATACATTGATTAATGATAAATTATTTTTTTGAATAGATGTTTTCGTGCATTTTGTGTATATCTACGATCATTGATAGCATTCCTTATCAGCCAGCTGATTTCTTAGTTGACAACCGGAGGCGCAACCGGCGCGCCTCTTTCTGTCCCTCTTTATCTCTCTTCCCCTCTTCCTTTTCTACCACCACCTACGTTCAAGTTGAATTCAACATTGACCGCCGACAAGCGAGCCTCGCGCAGTGCAAAAGGCGCGCACGTATCGCCGCGTTATGAAAAAATGAATTGGCCCGTCAATCTCGCGTGTGTTGTCGTGCCCGTAATCGCGTAATGCGAACATCACGTTCATGGGGTGTCGGGGTGTCGCCTTAGCATGAGCATTTCTCAAGACAGCGCCGCTACGATCGTGTGCAGGGAGGTTTTCGACGAGACATCTCATCCGACGAACGAAGGTATGTACATGACAGATGATGAGAATTGCGGAATTTGCGTGTTCCTTTTTGTATTACCTAGTCGGGGAATCTAGGTCGGATTGAACTCGCCGATTATTAGAGCGACGTTTACCTAGAGACGGGGCGTTCATTGTTAAACTAATCGATGTTACGTCGTTCCTTCCCGTAACATCTTGTGTCCTCCGAATATGATAATTCTACGATTTTATCGCGAACGATCGAAATACATTGTGCTCGACTAATAAATCACATGACATGATATTATCGGAAAACTTGGCCAAAAAATTTATTATATCTATATACATATTGATAAACATTTTGCCTTGCTATTATTCACACAATAGCAATCATAAAAAATGATTTTTTAGTTTTTTAGGTAAAGCGATTTATTAAGTTACGTATTTAAAGCTGGCTCCATACAATATGGCCAATATACCCCAATGTTGCCCAATATTGAACATATCATACGTATGAATTTCATATGGTTAACTTACAATTACACATCGCCATCATAGCAACTGTTATCCAACATTAGTCGGTTTTAATCCTGATTTTATTGATATTTTATTATACAAAAATATGTGGCTCTCTTCATTAATAATCAAAATTTTAAGCTTTAAATTATTTTTCTCTGTTTCTAAACGTTGTTTTGTATATATTCATACAATTACACATATTATCGGTTATTCAGATTCGCAAGAAATGACAAAAAACTTCCATAGTCGCGTAAAAGCAAAGTAAACATGCCTTGTCTTAAAGAAAGTTGCCATACAAAATCAGTCTGAAAAGACGTGGAAGCATAAAAAAGATTCGGTAGCAAGAAATTTCCTTGTTTATTTACATCACACCAGGCGGGAATACCGAGCCCGTTCCCCAGCCGCGCGCGCGCTCCGGAAAATCAATAATTCGCAGTGCGGCGAAAGTTTTGTCGTAGCACTCGACCGCCTCTATATGTCACTACAGTCGAATAAACTCTCATTTTGGTTACCGGCCAAAACTTTTCATACCGCTTACGGAATCTAGAACGGTGATTTTTCTACCGAAATTTTCATCCGCGAAGATCGACTACCTTGAGTAGCTGGAATCACGTTCGACCGAATCGACTAAATAAAAACCAACACTTTAACCGGCAAGGTTGGAGGGCAGATGGTGGCTCTGTGGTCTTATCCTCATATGCATGGCAGCCATCACATCACCTGTCCCGCCGTTGGGGTTGATGGAATTTTTTATCGAGGTCCTTTACACTTGCGGCGCTCTTTCGCGACCCCTTACAACATGCAGAAATCTTGCATTTATGACTTTGCGACCTCACGGCGTTTCACCCAAAGCTACTAGCGGTCATTTTCATCTCTCTTCTAAAGTTTTCGACCGCTCTTGATTAATCTGAAAAAATATTTTTCGGATCGGATAGCACTTTAGGCGTTATGCTATCTGATAGATGGTAGTTTATATTGTGAAGGAGTTGAATGTATGTGCGCGAATAGAGTTTTTTTGTGAAAATTTTAAATAATGTTAGATTTGTTTTCGAATTTCTTAAATATCAATTTATTTTTTGTCTGCTGTATATCACAGAACACGTATCAGAACACATAATAGAAAATTCTTTATTATACTATCAACTACATATAATCAACAAAGGTACAAACAAAGCTAGTACTTATTAATTAATAAATATGTTTTGTGTATTTATTCTTTTATATAATTGATTGTATTAAATACAAGAAATACGTTTTGTAGAGAATATAAGAACATAAAAACTATATTTCTTATAATTGAAGTACAATCAATTGTGCCTATCACAAAATATTTAACTAAATTGAAAAAATTAATATAATATTAAATACATTCCTTTCCCGCGTTCAATAAATTTTTTAATATAAATTTATTTAAATTTAATTTGTTTCTTATTTAAATATTATTATAAATCAAATATTATTTTATCAAAGATATAACTTTTTACGTTAAATATAATATAAAATTATTGACAGAGAAAAAGAGAAATTTGATATATAAAATTATCAGAATTTTTTTCTTTATATTTTTATTCACATGATATTAAAAAAATTTATTTGTGGCGGAAGGGAAATATTATGCATATCTAAGTTTAAAATTTTTACCTGTTATATTTCACATATTATGCACGTAACAAAAGCGTGTTAAATATCTATGAGTTTTGATAATGGAGAAAAATATTATTTATAAATGAGACCAATAAAAAGTTTATATTCTGTTTTATATTTTTATACCTTTATGTGTGTGTGGTTTTTCTAAGTAGAAATATCAATAATTAATATAAGTAGATACATTAATCAATCATTAAATTTATAATTATTAATACGCGCGTATTTCTTCTGTTAAAAAAAAAAAACTATTGTATTAATAATTTTATTTTAATAACAAACATGTTAAATAGCCATAAGCGTATCTTGTCCTTGCAGCATTTTCCTTGAAAAGAGCTAAAGAGACTTCATGCTTTACATCTTCTTTCTTTTATGGCTGGTTGGGCATTAGTCGCCCATACACCATTGTTTCTTATGGGTTTGTAGAATATAAGCAAAACTCCTCTAAGAGAGGAGAGAGTCCAAAAAAAGATCCAGACAAAGGACATACGCAACACGCAAAAACACGTCCGAACACGACACGTTGTCAGTCGGAACTTACTTCATGCTTTAATATTTTTAACCTGTGATCAATGAATTGTGCATTTATGTAAGCTCGATATATCAAGAAAGCAGGGATTTTCTAGTTATTTGAGTTTACAAGGGAATTATTAATAAATTATGCTGTGTACTATATAATATAAGATAATATATTACATTCTATAAACAAATAAACATTATCTCGAACTTATCGAAAACTTTTTATCTCTCTTTTATCCAATAAGGTATTCAAAAGGATTCTTATATAGAAATTGCTACAAAATATGCAAAGATTTTATAAAATAAGAAGAAATTTTATAACATATATTTTTATTTAAAAAATTTTTTTGTTCATTATAAAAATAGATAAAATTTTCTTAGTGTATCTTTATTAATAAAAGCCTTATATTGTACACTTGTACATTATTTATTAATACAGAAAATATTTTCTATGAAGGACAAAAAGAAGGGTGCACAATCAATTAATTAAATAATTTTTTTATTCCAACTTTATCAAATAATAACGCAGAAATCGTCGATTGTTTAACCAACGACAAGACCGGCGTTGTACTTAGTGACGTACTAATCGATTAATCAGCGACAACGGAATTCCAGAGCTGCTGGATTATGCAAAACGTCTGGGAATTGATCCCGATGCGGAACCGCATCTTCTGGACTTGGCCCGCGAGGGTCTTATGGCGGCCCTGCCCAAAGGTTGGTCCCCATGTTTTCATGAGGCTAGTGGTGCCTGGTATTATTATCAGGCATCCACGGGCACCACTACCTGGGAACACCCCCTTGACGCAGTTTACAGAGGACTTGTGGAGCAGGCTAGAACCGGCAACAAGAGGCAAATGAGCCTTGGTACGCGTCTTAATACTTCATATTTGTTTTATTGCTATCTTATTCAAGTGGGATTATGACACAGCAGACTATATTTTAGTATGCTTATTTTCTTATCCTATTTTCGTATTCTATTTGCAATTTTGCCTTTATGGTGTTGTTTTTTTTTTTATAAATTATAATGTTTCAATATACAAATGTGGTAGTATGACGCTGGAAATAAAAGTATATTTTTTTTATATTATTTATTCTTGAAATATTACTAATGGCATTTTTGAATTTAGCTTGTATTTAGTAAATATTTCTGTTATTTAGACAAATTTTTGTCTTTCTTATCTTTTTAACCTATACAGGGCGTTCCATTTTAACAGCCGTATATCTTTCAACTTGTTGTCGTGAAAAAAAAAAATTTAGATAAAATTGATAGAGTTTTGAAGGAGAAATTTTTTTTTGTACACGACGTCAAGTTTAGGAGATATATAATTGTTTTTATTAAGTGGAACACTTTGTATAATACCAGTATATATCTATATGTAAGATTATAGTACACTGTATTAAACTCTAGAGGTAAATAAAATAATATTAAATATAATATACTACGATATTTTTGTTATTCAGAATTAACATTTTTATTAATAATTAAAAATATATATATATACACACACACACACACACATTGTATAAATAACTTTTATATTATAAATTAATAAATAAATTATAAATAACTTTATTTACTCAGAATAACTTATTGTGAAATATACAAAAAAAATGTAATCACAAAAAAGAAATGATTGCAAGAACTGCTTTTTATATACTTTAAGAAGATTTTGCTATTTAAAATACATGTTTTTTTCAACCATGATTAACTTAATTATTATTTTCTATTCATTTATTTGTTAGATCGATTCGATTTGCCTTGACATTATTGCAATTAACGTAATGTAACGATATTTTCCACAAGTCACTTTCATATGAATGATGACTATTTCAGTCTATTTAGTTTTCCCGGAAGATTAAGTAATTTAATCTACAAGTCGGTGTTAATTGCGCATGCTGTACATTTACTGTCTAACTCTCGGCATTGTTAGCGCGACATAATTCAGATAGTTCATCAGTAATCAGTAAAACGACGCGACTTGGCAGCGCAAAATCCTCCTCTGGCTTTGCGTCAAAATTACGAAAAGCACGGCCATATTTTTAGATTCTTCCGCAAAGTATCGGCCGTGAATATTACGCTGCGACTGTTAGCGAGAATTTAATACAGTGTTTCTCAACTTTATGATATTGCCGCAAGTGCATTTCTCATTCAATGAATATCCAGTATTTTTAGTTTTTGTTTTTTTTTTCTTTATACAGGTACAGATATAATATATCATCTTTATTGGTCAAACACTCGTGTGAAAGGGACCGAGTTAACATTTTTTTTTTTTTTTTTTTTTTTTTTTTTTTTTTTTTTTTTTATACAGGTACAGATATAATATATCATCTTCACAAAAAAATTTTTAAATATCAATTTAAGCGCAAGAGTTGTGAAAAGCGATAGAAATAGTGATATTTATTATCTCTACGAAATTACTTTAAATAATGCCACATTAATTTTGATGTAAATTGTATATTTATCGTTAATTTGTCCTTTAGTTGAAATTGTGTGTGCAATAAAATAAAATTAAAAATTAATATCAAACTCCGAATAAAAAGGCAAAAGAGTTTTTATTCGGAGTTTGATTTTAAGTTGTAAGAGCCTTACTTTTATATCTTTTTAAAAATTAATATGTATAGATGCACGTATTATATACAAGAGGTGGTAGAATATAGTTAGACTTTCGTCCTCGGCGGCTCGAAACTTTGAAGCAAGCACGAATCGTAGTAATAGTTTCGCCGAGCATAATTATGCTTCCTTTCCGGGATTAATGTGTAGATAAAGCGGTCGTGGGACCCGCAAGCTGAATCTTACATGGCTATGGCGTCGAGGATTTGTGAAAATTATATTAATTTATAAAATAAAAAATATTAATAAAATAAAATAAATTAATTAAATGTATACGAATGATATATATAATGTGTGTCACATATTAATATAATTAAATAGTACAAAAACGGCTATCATAGCTCTGTTCTGTTTATTTGTGATAATAATTCTATAATAATTTTGTTATCTACATTTATTTTATGAATCGACAGAATTAGCTCGTTGACAAGCAGTCTTTCAATATCCGACTTAATAAATGATATTTATGCAATTTATAGGCGTTACGTAAATGAATAACAACTCCAAGACCTTGAAGCACCGACTTTGAATGCTTGCGGTCGCTCCTCATTTTTTGCAATAATCATAAAGATCAGTTTGTGACGCACATTTACGTAATCGAACGTCGTCTCGTGTTTCTGAGACACAAACGATTATCTCTTCAAGCTCAACCTGTAACATCTTTTTATTGAAAGTCAATGCGCTCTGCAAGAGAGAAAATAGAATAATTATCTTCTCGGCTATCACTTACAATCTTTATCGAACATTTTATGTTCACATTTGTAACCTAAATCAAAACTAAAAAAGGTAAATTTTTAATATTTTAAACACTATATTTATGTGAAAAAATATTTATGAAAAAATTAAAAGAGATTATATAGTATATTCGAGCCAGTAGATATATTTTAATATATTCGAGCCTTTTCAGGCGCAAAAATGTTCGTGCAATTTACTATTTAGCTTTTGTAAGCTTCAGCATCTTTTTTAAGTTACTTTTTACCGCAAAACAAACATTTTTAAATATGAGCATAAACTTAAATGTAAACATTTTTTGTTTACTCTGGTTTATTAGTTTGAAGTCTAATCGAATTTGAAAGATTGCATTGTGAAAAGGCCTGTAACTTTATTATAATTTTTATTGTCATTTTTTATTTTGGAATTTTAATTAATTTGTAATTTTTGTTATAACTTTATTTGGTTAGTGATCAACTTTTGATTTTAGAAATGCTCACTAAAAATATCGGAATAAATTCAGCTGTTGAGAGAGTTTATTAATTATGAAAAGAGTAGTGTATATTAAGTACTGACTCGCGCACGCAAGTTAGTATCTACAAAGACTTGTCATGTTTTGAATATATTTACACAGGGTAGGGTCTCTCCTTAAATTTGGTCTGGTTAATTTTAATATCTCTTTACACATTCTTTCACAAACACTAATATCACGCCTTTCCCATGTCATAATGGTGAATCTTAATTTCGTTTTATTATACTTAATGGCATATATATAAATAATTTGTAAAAAATTCTATTAAATATAACAAGAAATATAATAATTAATAAAAAAAAATTATTTTTAATGCTATAGAAGAAGATTCAAAGACTACAGCAAAGGATCTTGAATCTCATGAGGACGCAACCTTGCCGAAAGAAACTTTAAAAGAAACTGCTACCCTAAAGGAAACTACTAAAGAGACTAATCATCCAAAACCTGGCATGGTGGGCACCAAAATTCCCATGAAATTGGCGCCTCTACGGAAAATCGAAAAAATCGACGGCTCGCGTAGAAGGGATCGTCCCTCGTCTTTCGATAGGCTTCAATCAAGAAGAGAAAGTGATTCGAGATCTGACAACATAATATCCTTGTCAAGCGATCGGGCCGCCAGGGATTACACAAATTTGAAATTTCAAGATCCAAAATTTTATGAATGTCCAAAATTGCTAGAAAAAACAGATACGATTGCGGCAACGACGACAACAACAACGGTACCTACGAAGAAAGAGCTCGACTTGAAGGAAGTATTAAAGAGATCCGAATCGCTGAGTCCGTGGCACGAGAAAGATTGGGAACAGCTATCCAGCAAGTTTAGTTCCGAGGAGAACATAATTGATATCGATAAACTTAGCGCCAGCACGCTGGCCAGGCCGGAGAAGCCCGAGAAGTTCGACAAAGAAAAGCATCCAAGCCAGTTAGGCCAACAAAAGGAGTTGACCCTTAGTGGTGGCGGTTCGATGTTTCTAAAAAGTAACAGGAGCAGGGATAACACACCTAGTCAAGATGGCGGTAAATTAGAGGACTTCCAGGCATTGATGATCTCCGACGAAATTAATAATGCTGCCGGAGATAGGCTCAAATCCATTCTGAGAGAGAAACAATTGGACGATGGTAAGACCGATGTACATTCCAGAATATAATTTCACACAGAATAGTTTTTTATTTAAACATTTATTATAGTTTTTGATAAGATAATTGGACATAAAAAATATATACTCTACTTTAGTTTCAGATATATTTTTATTCTTTAAAAAACTAAAGTACTTACTTTCTGACGAGTAGGATAAGAAAGTAACAATCTAAGCACATAAACAAAAATTTTTAATATATGTAACATATATATAACATTTTGAATTCTTTAGTTAGTATTAATATAATTTATTAATAATTATTACATAACTTTTAATAGACGATCGACCACTGGATGAGGAACGCAAAAGCGTGCGGTTTGACTTGGAAAAGGAGATCAACTTTAATTTTACATATTCAGAGTCCGAGGACGACTGGGAGTCCGAATCTGAAGATAAGAATCCGCAGATATCGGCTGTGATCAGCAATAAAATTACTGGTTCTATTTTATCATCGCGGAAACCAATTTCGCAAAATTCCGAAGACAACAATGACGACAACAAGAACGACTATCCTGACGAGAAAGATTGGGATAAAATGGATTCGGAGATTAACAAGCAGCGTCTGCCTTTGGAGAAGATCGAGTCCATGTCGAAAAATGCAAAGATAGTTGGTAAGAGATTCCTCGTGCAAAACGTTTCGGAGAACGAGCATCATACTCAGATGACCAGGAACAGTCTAGAAATAGACAATAGTCTCGATTATTTGCCTAACAAATTAAGCGAGAAAGTGAAAAATATCGATTTGGTGTCGAAAAGCGAAACAGATTGCAGCACTGCAAAAAGCAGTGATTCCGATGAGATACGCAGAACAAGATCGATTATTGAAAAGGCAAGACACGTGACAAACCGCTTATCAAATTGGCAACTTGAAGACGATGAATCATCCGATATGTCAAAAGTCAGTCACCACTATGCGCAGAAGGAGCGATTTGTTAGACCTAAACTAGAATATTCTCGAAGTATTGACGATATGAAAGTGAAAATGAACAGAGAACACGAAAAAGAACTTGAAGCTTTCAAGATCGAGCTCGAAGTTAAATTGCAGGAAAAGAAAAAGGAACTTGAAGAAAATTTTGCGCAGCAAAAGCTCTTAATACAGCAATATTTGGATCAAAGATTAGAAGAGGTGAAGCTGGAAATGGCTCAAAAGGTATCTGGACTATTTTTATTACATCGTAAATTTTTGGATAATGTAAAAATTAAGGCTTCTTTCTATTTGATAGACAGGATTCTATCATAGATAGACTAATATTTCTATAAAGATAAATATTATTACCGTAATTTATTACCATTGTTATTTTCTCATAAAAACTATACCTTTTTTGCAACATTTTTATTTAAAAAATCCAAAAAATGATACATTTATCTTTTTTGTTAATTTAAAAACAATGAGATTTTAAAATAAATTTTTATGACAAATTTCATCAAAAAGCTATTAAATTTTTTTTTATAGGAAGAGCAGGAAATTCAAGCATTAATTGCTGAAATGGATCAAGCTAGGATAGAGAATTTGAAAAAAGTCCGTACGGAGTTGGAAGCCTGTTATGAGAAAGAGAGACAAGAAATATTGGCAAACTTGAAAACAGAACTTGATGAGAGAAAAAAAGAGCTTTTGGAGTTAAGAAATCAGGAGATGGGCAAGCTGGAGAACGAGCATGAGCGTGATCTGGGAGAGGAAAAGCTCGCAAAGCTGAATGAATATGAATTGAGAAAACAACAGACGGAAAGTATCGAAATCCTAAAGAAAGAACTGGAAAAAGAACTCGAAGATTTACGAAACGAATTAAGAATGCAGCAACGAGAGAAAATTACTAAATTCACTGAAGATCACGAACAGTGCCTAGCCGAGATTCTTCGTGATTTTAGAATGGATGTGAGTAATTAAGACGTATTAAAAAAATGCAGATTTATAATTCACTATAAAAGTTATTGTGATTTTTGGAAAAAAAGATTTTTTATGAGTAAAGATTTTAATAGAAAAAAAACAACAATCTTTCTCCTCTATAAATTCTCTTCAATATCTTATAAATTCTTAAAATCTAATTCTCAAATATATATATATTAAAATATAGTCCAGAAAAATAACTGTATATCGCATTTAACAATTTTTATATTCCTTAAAGAAAAAGAATATATTCATATATAAATTAGTAAAAATTATTTATTTCATGGTTTTAATATATAAAATCTAAGATCTCTTTAACAAATAGAAAACACACACACGCGATTGTAATTTTTTTAATTTAAGATTTTTTATATTATAATTATATCTCTCCTCTAATGAATAAATTTGCTAATTATATGGATATCTCGGGTATAAATATTATGTGAGATATTAAGGAAAAATATAATATATAACATATATAATATAAATTACTATATTTTCGTTTTTATGCTCAATATTTTTTTCTCTTACATCATATTATCACGGAAATATTATTATAATACATTTATATATTATTGTTATGAAAATAATAATGCATATATTTATAACAGGCTACAAAAAATAAATTTCTATAACATTTTTTCCAACAGGATAATCGAAAATTTTCTTTATCTGATTTGAATATTTGTAAGAGTATATATAACTTAAATAACTCAACTTAAGTCTGTTGTGGTATTATAGGAAGCTCTTGCTCGTAAGATGTATAAAGAGCGACTAGAAGAAATCCGCGCGGATTTCGCGCGGGAAACAGAGAAGGAGGCAAGGAAGCAGACCGAGCGGGTTCTTCAGGATAGCATAGATTTTGAAAAGATGCGTTGCGAGAAGCGGCTGCTGCAGGACAAGTATACGGCGCTCAAAGAGAAGTACATGAAATTGAAGAACGATGTTCGCCTCGCGGTCGAGAGAAGGAGCAGGAGAAAAGAGGGATATACCACGGCCTCGGAAACCGAGAGATCGACATCCACCAGGACGAAGACGGATAGGACCGAGTCGTCAGAACAAAAGTAAGTTTTATTTACTTATACATAAACGAAAAAAATCAACACTTATTAATTTCATATATCCAACAATATTTACATGGCTAAAATAGGCTTGCAAAAATTGTATAGAAAAAATTTTAATATTAATTATATATGTATGTGTTAGTTTTATGGAATATAGATTCACTCCCTTTCTCTCAAATTTTTACGTAATTTTCTCTTCTATGTTTGTGATTGAACAAGAGAGCTAGTAGGTAGTCGAAAATATTATAAAAACAAATAATAATGTGTATTGTAATTGTGTAATATTTTAATTTTTTATTTCTCGATCTATTTCACCGCGCATACATTTGACGTATAATAATAAAAGAAATTGCTATTGACATTTTCTATCAGCTTTGTTCATAATTAACAATAATAGTCATAATGTAATAATCAATCTCTGTAATTCTTAATATTAGCACGCCTTTTGCGTACAGCACACGCATGCCATTTCATATCTCATTAATATTTCCCTCCTTAATGTAATTACTTGATGTTTTTACGGTAATTAGCGAGATAGAGGTCAACATCTCATATATGTACATATAACGTAATTAATTCCATAAATATATTATTCTCGCTAGTTTCTGTATCGAAACATTAATGTTGCACGTTCATTATCGATATATCATTCTCACTAGTACCTTCGCAGTCTATATCATCAGTTTTAATTTGTCGAGCGTCTGACGGCGTGTTTCCCGATTAAACGGACTGTGAAGGTGCTCCGTCATGTTCATGCGATTTGCCCTAATGTCTGGCTATAGGCCTTAAATCGTGCTCGCAGTACTCCGCTGAAGAACGCGAACTCGAGCCCAGTGACAAACGCGAAATCGCAGGAGGGGCAGAATACGAGCGAACAAGTCGGAGAGCAAAACGATCCGGACAATTCGAGGAGTCAGAGAGCGGCAGCGGGGTTTCAGAAACGCGTAACCGCCGTCGCTGACTCGAAGAGCGCAGCAAAATTTGAATCTGACGACACTACCACCGCCAGCGAGACGAACACTAACATGATGATGATGAAGAAGAAGAAGAGCTTTAGTAAGAAAGTCGCTCCGAGCGCGGGTCGCTCAAACGGTGGCAGTAACAACAATCCCGTGGAGAACCCCGTGGAGAATATCAGGAAGCAGCTAAAGAAGCTGGAAGATCTCGGCGATCAATTGCCGAGCAACGAAACGGCCTATACAGTGCGATATCCTTTCCAAGATAAAGGTGATTGTTTTAAATCTATCTCGCGCATCATTACTTCCGGTCTATTTTCGAGGCAATATAAGTTTTGCTCACAAGGTCCCTAAAGATTTAAAACCAGGTCAGATCGGGTCTGGTCACAGATTGAAAAACAGCGTTTCTCGACTTTCTTTTAAAAGATGATATATACAATTTTGTCAACGAAACAACAGAGTTTATTCTTTTCAATGCGCGGAGAATATACGAAGTGTCCTACTTTTTTTTTTTTACTTTTCTAGATAAATATTAAAACTTGAATAACAAGATTTTGTTATCGTATGTATAAATACATTGCAATGTAGGAATACATGTACTCTAATAACGCTGCACAGCTATAGAAAAAACTGTCAATTTTACTTGTAAAATAAACAATCTTTTTTTGTAATGTTTTGTAGATGGCATTGCACATTATATTTTTAAAGAATACAGTTTTGATGTGAGTTTAACGCTATCTTTCAAGATGTGGTGTTTATAATAAGTTGCAAAATAATATTTATTTGAAATTTAAAAAAAATATGGGTAACGTTTTATATCGTATTTTACGGTATTAGATAATTGTATTAATAATTAAAGAGATTTGCCTATTTGTGAATAAGTATACTTTTATTATATTTATATTCTCTCTTTTTTATATATTATTCTAGGTTTTTGGATATTTGTATCTTTCCTCTCTTTCTTTCACTCTCTTCCTGTTTTTGTTAAAATATTACAAAATTATTTGTACAAATGATATATATAGATACATGTATGTATATATGTATGTACATATTTTAATTATTTTTGGTCGATTGTTTTAATTTAATTATCCGTTAAATATCTTATTTTTTTGCACAGTTATTATTAATTGCATACCTCGATTCTGTAAATGTGTAAATAACTCAACTTCAACGAACAACCTCAAACTAGTAATATTTAATCTCCCTAGATTGAACCGCAGTATATATTATCTCGTTATTTGTATCTATTATTCCTATCAATAAAATATTTCTATGATTATGTTATATATATATATATATATATTATTTCTTTTCTGTTCCATAGGATTTTATACACTTTACTTTGGTTAATCTGGCTTATATCTTTCGACTTGCTCGTAAGTGCACCATTAGTTTTGCTTTCGCACGCTGTATTCATAAATCCCGTCATTCCCTGTCTCATCATTTTCATATTAGGCTTTAAACATATTATATATAAAGCTTAAGATTTATTCCAATTAGAGACAAGACCTTGATTCAAATCGAAAGCAACTGTGCTTTTTCTTACAGCGCCGGCGAATGCCTCTTCGGAGCTGGAATTCTTCCGACATCGGATCCATGTGGAGAGGGACTCGGTGAGGAGAGCTCGCGAAGCGCTGAGACAACAGAGAAGTGCCTTTCAGGGTAGGCAAAGAGCTTGGAAACAACGGAGCGCGAGGGCCACTCTGGAACAATTGGTGCAGGTATCTTTATTATTAATTACGAATTAATATTCGTTGATTGTTTAAATATGTAACTATCTTTCATATTATTTCTTTGATTTGTTGTTTATTGCGATCATTATAACTATTATTGCGATCATTTTTTTAATAATATAAAAAATATATATCTATTATTCCTGTCGATCATACTAAATATTCCCATTTTTTTATCTAAAGAAAAAATTGTTCTTAATAATAGTATTATTGATTAGAAGTAAAGAGATCTTGAATATTTATTCACAGGAGGAACGCGAGCTTTCTGATATGGAGGTGAGTTTGCATCGCACCAGAAGCCTTCTGGGTGAGAAGGTCATTCATCTAAAACACCTGGAACAGTCTTTGGAACGAGTGGCAAACGACAAGCGAAATGAAAACGACGCGTCTTCCATAAAAAATGATGAACTGACACTGAGCGATATGTCGAGTGCCAGCAGCGGTTTCAGCTCGACTGATTTGGGAACTGATACTTTTATAGGTATATTGCACAGATAAAGTTTCGAAATTAAATTATTTATTAAGATATTGTAAATTTTAGATAACATAAACAATGATAAGACATAAATTCTTAATATTATTAATAATAATAAAAGAAAAAAATTACGTCCGACTTACTTGCTAGTTTATTAAATATATATATATATTTGACTGACTTTCTAAAAATAAAAATATTTAAAATATAAATAAAGATATAAATTTCTCTCTTTGCGTATTTATTTTTTTCTTTTTTTCTTGTGTTTATTTCATAAATTACTGTTAATTTCATAAAGAAACAAAAAAGTCGAGTAGTTTATTTAATAAATTAAGAAAAAGATAAAATTATATCCAACATGATGCATAATTACTATATGAATCTCAGCATAAATATGCATTATATTGTATAGTCTGTTGTTGGAAATCTAGATAAGCCAGATCATTATCAAGAATCTACTGAAATCATCGCAAGTTTAGAGAATTTGAACTCAGAAATACGAGAGATTTGGGATGTCTTGAACAAACGCCAGGATAGCAGCAACATACCTCCAACACCGGCTCTTATGTACTCTTATTTGCGATGGTTGCGGTTTCATCATCTCACCGCGCAACCTAACAGCATGCAAGGTAAAGAAAGAGAAATATATTTTTTTTTCACGGAATTGGATTTGCATAGTACTTTTTAAGTGCTCCGATATATGTGCAATAAAAGTAAATTTTTTTATAATATGGTTATTTGTTCTTGCTTGTAAAAAAAAAAAGATTGTAAATACGTCTATCTTTTTTTATAGGTGCCTTTGGTACGCCCAATATACAATCCAACATTTTATCTCAATTAACCGTTGCGCAACCTCCTACTACCACGACTCAGAATATTATCGCTCAATACGGTCCTAATAGCGGCTTTACCACGAGCGTTGGTACAGTCGAGAGAAACGCTTCGAATTTGATGGAAAGGACCAGAAACCTAAGAGATTGGCTACGCCAAGCTCGTGTCGAAAACACCGACCTGATCAGTCCAGGTCAAGCAACCCTCTAAATTAACGTCTCGAAAAAAGTTTCCTCTTTTTTCTAAATCTCTTTCCTTCTGCAAAATTAATCTTTATTCTCAATTAATCGTATGGCTTTGAATCAAATATTAGTTGAAGATGTATAATATTATTTAATTAGGGATAATTAGTTAGCGTAATATTTTATATATTTAGAATAGTTTATTGTGCAATGTACTTCTCAAGTTTATTCATATTTTACGTTTTTACGGATTATATAATTAAGAATCAATTGGAAACAATTTTGCAACCTCTCGTTAGAAATTGTCAAATCCTTTTGAAGTGATAATCCTGTCCGGCACACGAATGTCTATTCCCGATTTGTACGGATTTCAAATTTGCGCTCGCTTGCTGCTCCGAATCTTGTTTCCTTCGTTATCGAATCGATGATCAAAAACTATCAAGAATATTGTATGTATCATTGTGCGACAAATAATTCACGTGTGAGAGAGAATAAAGTTGAACGTGATAATGTGATGTAAATGCATGTAATTTCCAATTATCATTTATATATAGCACCATTCTTTAATTATTCGAGCTTCAGACATGGATTTAATTAATCACTCCTTGATAAATTTGAATCAATTTGATCGATAAATTCGATTGAATTTTTAAAATTTTATAGATTGACATTACACACACATACAGACACACGCCACAACACTACATAATTCAAATAAATTCAAATTCAATTTAAATAAAACGTCTCAAGTGGCGAGTTTCTCGCCTCCTTAAGTTTTTTTAGAACAAAATATTGTGAATAAACAAAGAGTGAATATTATTCTGCACGACATTAAAAAAATTGAAAAATTATCCTAGAACGGTTAGTTCCCTCTTTTGTCTTCCAGCGTGTTTTGAACTTAATTAGCTCTACTTTTAGCATAAGCATATTTATGCGCAATGACACACGTGTGTGTGCTTTGATTTTGGTAAATAATATTATAAATATATATATTATGCTGTGTACGTGTGTAAAGCTTGTAAATTGATACAGGGTGGATGATATAGGTACGCGCGTATCTATAGATGGGATCTTTGTGGAACGCGTTTGTAAATATGTGTACTTCGATATACATATATTATCAAAAAGTTAAAAGAGAGACCCCTCTCTGATGCGATACAATGCATGTTATAATGTACGATAATGCATGATATAACGACTCATTTCTTCGATAGTCTGTTGATTCTCTGTATATTTTCAAGATTTCGATTAGGATATGTAACATATGTGCGCGTGCGCATGTATTGTAATATAATATAACTATATATTATATATTAGTCTAAAATGATATTAAACGCGTTCGAAGAATATGTGGTACATCGTATATTATAGTTGATCGTGCGCGATATTCTAATGACTACCGAATTACTTGTGATTTTACGGAACTCGAATCAAAAACATAGAAACATTTTATCATAATGTATACTTTATAGAAGACTTTATAGATTTCTATAATTTATATCTCTTTTATACATAAGTCAAATTTTGAATATTTATGTTAAATATATGCATTGCTTGCGTGATAAGAAAATTGATAAGATGTATGCGTAAGATGTTGCTAGTATTTTTGAAGACTATTATTATAAGTATCGTGAATATCGCGCGCAATCGTGGCAAAGAATGCCTCTATGTTTAATCAGTCATTTTTCAAATGCCAAAACTTTCTCTTAATTAGCAAATATGCTAGACACCACATTAGATACATCATGTAAATTATATATATTATAAATAGAGAATTGAACATATGCCAAACATTTTTTGATGTCGATTAAATTTACCCAGCGACGATTACTTCGATGTATTGACTCTCGACAATTCTTAGAGAAAAATGATGATATAACCACATAGCATATACATATATAGTGTCACAATATCATGATCTCATTAAATGTATGATGTAAATTAATTGACGGTTGTACACATTTTTTGGAATATGGAATATGAATGTTGAATTGAACAATTATACTTTATATAATCTCTAATTTATGCTAAAAAGTCGAAATTACGAAGAGAATCTACTTTCATTTAAAGATATAATTACTTAATAGTAAAATTTTTTTTAGATTGTGAAAAACAATGTTTCCCGAATTTGGGACGCTTATTGATAGTAAACAGATACGTAGTAAATATACGCAAATGGAACATGTTTCAAATGCAAGACATTATGTGAGATAGCATTATAAATTTTTATACTTAACTTTTGTGCTATACATTATATCGAAGATTATTAATGATAGCCTTTGATGAGAATACTAAACGTTAATATGCAAAGAATGATAAAGCAATACGTGAATAGAAAATCTATATAAAATGGAATGTATAATTATATAATGTAATATATTTATCATTTTATGTTATTTCCATATTATTGTTATATATATATATATAAAGGAAGAAAGAAAAAAACTTCTTCCCTATTCTAAAATCAAAATAATGCGCTATTGAAAATATTTATTTGATTTTACAATTAGCATAGAAATCTTTGAATTTCTTAATAAGAAATTTCATCTTTTCTTCGCAACGATTGTTATTACGATGAAAATAAACTACAATCGGTATGATTATCCTCGCATTCATCGCTGTTTGTTTCAAATTCCTCTTTCGACGGTAGCCAAGCGATCAATCGATGCATATGATCCTGTGATTTATTATTAAGGGAATTTTGCGCCGCTTTTATGACCGGAGATGATTTGCATACCAGTAATCTAATACAGGCGGAATCAGGACCAGTCATTCTTGCTATTAATTGATTTGGTAGATTCGGATTCTTTGCTTGATCAACCAAATTTCGAATCTATTAAACAGAATTAAAATATGTGTTGCAATTGTATTGCATTCTCTTATATTATAAATATATTTTAATTTTATATTAGATTTTTTTATATTAGATAAATTTTAGATTTATATGTGCAACTATTATTATCACGTCACATGTGCAATGTTAACACACATTATTATATAGTTATATATAGTAGAATTTTTATATTTAAACTTTGTTTAAAATATTATACAAATTTTAAGTTTGATTAGGAAAAATTAAATTGATTAAAAATCGATAAAAACTTGAATAAACTAAATCCCAGCAATCTTTCCAACCGTTATTTAAATCAAAATTGAAAGCCGCTTCTTCGTTTACAACTTACTTTTTCATTTTTATTTTCTAAAGTAAATTTTAAAGGATCCCAAGGGAGTGCTTCGTCATCTATATTTTTGGCGATGTTATCTTGTGATTTTAATCCAAAGAGCGAACTTATCTGTCAAAAGAAATAAGAGAAATATGCTGAATTTAGAGTAAATATGGAAAATATTAGTATTGCATAATATTTACCATCTGTGCAAGAAATATAACGCTGTTGACTGCGATTGCTGCGACTTTTTGCGAATCAAGTCCAATGAGGTGAAAGAATGCGGAAACGAGATTTGAAGGACCAAATGGCTGTTTTGTATCATCATTTTCATCGTCACCACGCTTCTGCTTCTGTTTACGCCCTAAACTTTTAGATACTAGATCGGCAATGTCCTTAGCCGTTTCTAGATAGTTACTTGCGTACTTCAATCCTGTTTTTATCTTATCCAGAACATCTGCAATTAACGATAAGACATATGACAATACGATATAAGACAATAATTGTTTTCATAATTCAATTTACTTTTGACATCCTTTCTGAAATAATTTCTAAAATATTTCTGTAATGAATTATTTATACAATTATTAATACTTTCAATATTTGTACAAAAATGTTAATTTTCTTATAAATATCTTTTTGTGTGAAAAAATTTCTTTCTAAATCAAAGCAAAAAACACGTGAAATTTATCTTCTATTTCTTATTGTTTTATTACCTCTCTCTTGTTATTTATTTTAAATATATTTATATTAAACCATTTTTTCAAAAAAAAAAAAATCTCACCTTCGGTTTTTGCAAGCTGCACATTATCAAATATAGTTATCCAAATAACGCAAAAGAGGAGGCACGAGATGTTCGACATTTCGTTGACTCTAACTATGAAACAATACTGAGACTATCGAGGATCTTCCTAAAGCTGACCATAACGGGTGTTTCGCGTTAATTGCGCGTTTATTTCTATTCCGCTGCGTCTCCGACGGAGCTCCAATTGAATCTCCTGTTACGCGATTGTCGCTCTTCTTGCTTCGCCAGCCAAGCGCGAGGAAACGACATCCGTAGCATGTTTCGTAGCATGATTTAGTCACATCCCTGTTAAAAGTCAGTAGTTGACGAAGGTGCTAGAAGTAACACAGTTGAAGTTTGCATAGCTATATATATATATCATCGTCCTAATTATAGAATCTGTTCGAAAAGTGTTTAATATATTAAGCAAAAGTTACTTAAAATTTTCTGTTAGAAGTGAAACATTTAAAAAAGAAGCATATATATAATAATAAATATTTTTTAACAGATTGCATTAAAACACAATAGTTTGCTGACAGATCTTATATAATACCAAGATGTCAAAACTAATGATACAAACGAGAAGGAAATAATTCTATATGAAAAAAAAAAAATCAAAAATGTAGAATAAAACTTTTTTATATTTTTTATCAAAAGAATACTTCGGGGAAACATAATAAGAGACGAGATGTGTTTATTTTTTAGGAATATTATTTTATATTAACTTAAAAATTGTTTGAAGTGTTGTCCATTTTGTAGTAATTATGCTCTTTATATTAAATGTTTGTTTTATTTTCTTATATAGAATCACCTCCTTCCCGCTTGTACTATCAATTCTGGGACATCCGGTATTTTATCTTATCCACAAATTTCAGAATATTTAGCCATGCATTGCTGGTTGCTAATATTTTATGCATCTTGCATTTTTAAAATGACATCCGGGGAAAAATCATCTTTATATGTGGATGAAGTTCGCAGTTTAAGTGAATTACCAATGGATAAACTGATCCAAATAAAATCTTCTCTTGGAAGCGCGGGATATGGTAAACTATTAAATATAATTTACAATTTAATATTACATAGATATTTTTTCTCAATTTATTTTTACGTTGTTTGTAGATATTACTGATGAAAATGAAAACGCGCGCGAAGATGTATCTAGTAGAAGATTATCCCTGACAATGCCAATGGCTTTGCCTTTAAGAAGAAGTAACAAAAAGCCTACGCGACGATATGAAGAGCACTACGATGAAAAAGGCAAGGAGTCGAAGGTTTCAAAGATCTTCCAGGTGGCAATAACTGCATTATCGTTTCTCGCATTTGGCGGTTATCTCCTTACACTTATAATAACAGCAGTTCGTCGCAATATGACCAATAATCCAAACGGGAATGTCGTCGTATTGTCGGTAAGATGCATTATTTTTATATTACTGTTATTTATTTTATATATACATAATTAAATTTTTAAGAAATGGTTTATTCTTTTAAAGGGTTTTTTTAGAGGAGTCCCCTGATGTAGCTTACACGAAAAATCGTGACTTGTAAAATATAAAAATACGAATAGATTCTTGATACAACTAAAATACAATCAAACAATTATACATAAATTACTAATTATTTTTTCTAGAATCTGCAAGGTCTACAAAAATTTAATCGCCCTAGACGTAACATTTTAATATTTGATCCAATGGAGAATAATTTTGAAACTGACAAACTTTATGAAGGAATGATTATGCTCTCAAGAAGTTATGCCTTATACAATTAATTACAAATCATATAAAAAAGCTATATTTTAGGAAGATTTATTATTTATACATATTTATTCTGCTGGTAAAAATATAAGATTTATAACTAATCTAATATAGAGCATATTAATAATAGCAAATAATCTATAAAAAATAAAAAAGGTTTATGTGTAAGAAATGTAAATTTTTTTATAATAATTATCTTAATAAACTGTTATTTTTTAATATTTGTTAAATTAATTATTTATTTCATGGATAAAATTAACTTTAATTAATTATATATAAAGCATCGTAATAGAATTTTATATCAAATTTGACTAAGTATTTTATAATTGATTTTGAAATAAGTTTCCTCTATTTTCGCTTGACTAACATAAAAATTATTTGCGCCGATCGATTAACTGAATTCGAAGAGTGCTTATCATGCAAATCTGACAGACTCTTGAAAATCCTAAAACCTAATAAAATCGAATAGAGGACCGCGATGTGTACATATCTCGAAGAATATTCTTAGCGTGTGGGTAGAAAGGCAGCTTCAAACATGGCTCTTCAAATAAACACCTAAGTGACTGTGTATTTTGCAGACCTCTACGCGCAAAGATAACCATATGGCTCTTCCAGAGATATCATCGACCACACATACGTCTCTATACCATTGTTCTACCAATATATGCAATTTTTTGTAACATACCGAACTTTTCAAAAACCAATCCATCTCTGATTAAGTATCATTCATGTTTAAAAGTAGCGACTATGAGACACGATATTACATTACATTTTGTTGTAGTTATTCAATTAATCTACATTTAAAGATTTATATTTAAAATAAAATTAGACGAATAATATTAGAGTCTTAAACATATTTAATAATTATATAAGCTTAATTATGTATGTGTATGTGTGTGTGTTATATTGATATATTCATGCTCGAGGATTGAAATGTTCAAAAATTTAGCTATCTAAAATATTTTATATTTAAATATCTGAAAAATTAGAAAAATATCCAATTAAAGAGCTTATTAGTAAAATAAAAAACCAGCTATTTAATGTAAATTTTAAACCTAATCTATCATTACACTATTATAAATGTATTATTAATTTTTTTATCTTCTTGAACCATTTCTCGCGACGCGAAGAATATTATTTTGAAACTTGTATTCCACTGCATCCGACACATCATTCTGGTCTTGGACCAATCTTCTTGCAGCCCCGCCTTCAGTATTTTCGTGAACCAATCCAGTTGTTCCAGTTAAATCACAACTAGTAGCGGTGATTTTTTTTTTTGAACCAGGAATCTTCTCTTAACAAGGCACAGTCTCGTTCATTCATTCACTTTTATACTGTGTTCTGCAGTTCTATCAAATAATTTTTTTTTTAATGAAAAAGGTGGTAATTTCTTGTTAATCGAGTAATTTTAATTTTATGCTCAAACTAATTTTCTCTATCTATCAAAATTGTAATTAATATAATTGCATATGTACATCTAATAACAGTACCACGAAGAATAAGTACAGTGAATTGAAGTGAACAGTGACAAGAAATAATAGTTATATTCACAAATATCAATTAAAATTTATTTTATATTAATTTCAATAATAATTCTCAGTGTAGAAATATATGTATTGTGTATGATTAGACGCAACATTTGTAAAATAGTAATACATACCTTCGACTAGTGACGTGAGCGCAATTGATAGCGCTGTGTGAACGAATTCGTCAAAAAGAAGATGATTGGCACTAGTACTCACGTCATGGATAACTCTAATTGTTCGAAACAATTAAAATTTGGCATGGATCGCATATTATCGAATGAAATATGCACGAAAAAAACAGGTAAAAATTGATAACATTTAAAAGTTATACGTAATATGTAGCATATAATTGAGTAAAATCTCGCTTTTGTGTATAGTTTTCATAATTGATATATAATTAAAACTATTTATTTTGAATAACTTTGATATTATTGTTACATATATTTCTTTAGTTAAAAATCATTTTGCATATATATTAATTTTTAGTCATATTTTTGAACAAAAATTATAACTGTAATCTTAGCTATATGTATATATATATATA